CCAGTGCATGCGCGCGTGCGTGATTGCTGCAAAGTGCGTGTCACAGTAGGACTTGCCTATGGAATCAATGAGCGGAGAAGCAGTCAATAAACACCTGCACATGAACGTACCCTCGCCGGGCTCAAAGTGGTGAATATCTGTGATCGGAAACCCGGACAGTAACTTGAAGCGGCGCTGAATCCACACAGGCAAAGCGCTGTTGGAATACGAAGCGCCGTTGTCGCTGTAAAGCGCGGCCGATGTGATTCTGCTCGCTCGGAAAAAAACACAAGTAAATCACCGCACACACACTCGTCCATCACCTGCCTCACATAAGCACTTACGGCGGCATCCTCTTGTGTTGAATCATTGACCGAGTGAAGCCAGCGATGGCCTCAAGCGCATGGCCGACAAACACCCAATCCTGCCGATTAACATCGCTCCAGTGATCAAGCATATGCATGTGCCGCACCCCCTGATGCATCCAGAGGAGCACAGCACCATGATACGGAAAGCCATGCTTGCCAAAGAAGTCAACTTGCACTTCTCGAGCAGAACTCTGGAGCACCTTCATCTATCTTTAGCGCGGTTGGTGAGTCACGTGCAAATGAGGTATCATGGTCAACATCGCTCGCAAAAAAACGGACCTTGAAATCCACCACGATCATCAGGCGACCTTCCGAAAGATTCTCGAGGGCCTCGTTGAAATCGGCCTTGGCAGCGGCCGCGCGCCAATGGTGGGCATTCACAAGGACGAGGTCGTTGCAGGCCAGTTTGAGGAGGTCAGCGTTCGGGCCCGAGAGAGCGCCATTGAGCTGTAGAATCAGCTCATGCAGTGGGGCACACTCGGGGCAAGAGCTGTGACCGTCGACAAAACAATTGTGCTCCTCGTGACAGAGGCCGAAGGCGAAGAGCTCGCAATGTAGCGGGTGCGGGTGATGCTCCATCTTCCCAGCAGAGCTCGCTATAGTCCTTGCATGACCCTCAGCGAGCGTGGCAAAAGCACAGAGGCGCTCGTCCATTTCCAAGGAAATGGCGCCAGCCGAGCTCGCCTGGTGAATGAGGAGCGGAAGGATTTCGCGAAAAATCGTCACGCCACGGTTGCAGGTCGCGCAAAGGCCGGTCTTGACTTTACGCTCGCCGAACGTTACGCCCGATGACTGCAGCACGTCATAGAACTTGCTCCGGGAGACAATCGGCTTGGTACCTTCGCCAGGGTACTTGGCAAGGAAGCGCTTGTAGATCTGATTGAGAGTCATGTTGAGGTAGATGACTGGCTGACCGTCGACAGTGCACGCGGTCGGGGATGCTGTACCGGTCGCCATGGCAAACGCGAGGATTCGCTCATCATGTGCGCTGGCCCGACTGTTCCTGGGAATCACGACGTGCGCCGCCGGGACGCCAGGACCATTGTGTTTGCCGTGCTTTCGAGCGGCCGTCAGTGCGCGATATTCGAGGCCGGGGAAGTGTGGTTGAAGCTGCTTGAGCTGGAAGAATGGTGCAATGGTTGAGAGGATGCGTCGACGGTCGGCAGGGCGGGTTGCCCGCTGCCATCGTAGTCCAAGATCCGTCAGCAATGCATCCGCGCGTTTCGTCATGTCATTATCGTCGGTGACCTTCGTCTCCGAAAGGATCTCGTTCCAAAGCGTTTGATCGCTCGGCCATTGATTGACGACGGTGTTCTTGACAGTCGACAGGATGTTGCGCCCGGTCTCAAGAGCTTCAGCACGTCGCCGCTGCTTGACACGATGTGCGCCAAGTTCTTGGCTGGACAGAGCGTTAGCCATTGGCGAATACTTGAACGACGAAGGAAACTCGACGTTGATCTGCAGAGA